AAGAAAGAAACTTTTTTAAGTAGAAAGGAGAAAGAAACTTGTTACCTTCTAATCTACAAGTAATTCAAGAGCATTTTAGCTGAAGAATTCTTCAACCTACAACTCTGTCCTAAATGTACATCTCCAAAAACGTATCTGCAGCACCATGGATGAAATAAAAAGAAAAGGCTCATGAGCAAAAAAAATAAAAAATAAAAAGAAAAGGTAAAAAGAGCATATTCAACTTTTTCTTTTTTCTTTTCTTTCTTTGTAAGTTGCTTTATTGAAAAGGAGTTTTAACCTGTATTCACAGTATTCGGGCCAAGCACACCGAGCTTTTCCATAATCCCAGTAGCAATTGTCATCCCTCAGAGGACCACGCTTGGCTGTTGGATATTAATAATCAGTGAACAGTGCTTGAAATTCCCAACAAAAGAATGAAAGAAGGGAAAAAAAGGGAATGTGTTGGATATTAATAATCAGTGAACAGTGCTTGAAATTCCCAACAAAAGAAAGAAAGAAGGGAAAAAAAGGGCATGAAGAGAGGTTTACCTTTTGTAACAAATTTTGAGGTTGCCTTTGGATGGATATCGTGCCACAGCTGAAGCCATAACTCCCGCATTAGGACGGGGGATCTAACGATGTTCCTATGATTTGCTACAAGAAAATAAAGTGAGTTAACGTACATACTTATATAGAATTAATCAGTAAATTTGTAGTTTAGATCATCAACCAAAATATTACTTTTATCAAGCTCCCACACAGCTGTCCTCTTTCCAGGAATACTTGCAGCATCTTCATAGAAGGTAATGTACTTGACTCTAGGTGTCCGGGTCATGTTGGGAAAGATGTCTTCATCATGGTTATGTTCTACATTCAGTTCCACTTGTACATCAGACCCATCATGCTCTGACTGAAATTTGCATAAAAAATAATAAATTCAAACATTTTGGATACGCGTGACATGTTGTATCAAAAAGATCTTTCTGGCATTTTGGATTTGCCTACCTGAGGTGCCCTTGTTATGTTCACTTTTGGTCCAAGCCAACTCTTGCACCAAGAAAGAGAATGGTATGGTACCTGTAAATGAATGTGTTCATCAACTGTTGAATCTGTCTATCTTTTTTAGTTGAAATCTTATGGTATTTGAGAAAGTGTTTCGCTTACCGTTTCATCCCCACTAACAACTCCTGGATTTCCTTCAATAAGATTCCCAGACCTACACAAAAAGTTGCAAGTAAAACTCGTCTACTCATATTTTTCCTATTCTTGAATGAAGATATATTTTACCCCATGATTTAGTTGGATTGGAAGATGGTTACCTTGAGGTCAGCGTTCCTTCAATCTCATAAATCACATCTGTAACGATCCAATTATCCGGATAAGGCTTGCCACTTGGTGCAAAATAGTAGCCGACCTGTTTGGCCGTAGCAAAGACGACAAAAGTGTATTACCACATCGCAAGTACACAATAAACAAGACCAACAAAGGCATATCATAAGAGAATTGATTATCTGAGGATGTATGTAACTTAACCAAATATGTCTACCAGCGTGAGTGGATGCTAATTACAAATGGCTAACCACAGAGATGAACCTTTCTGAGAACATTGGTCTGGTCACGCCATATAGATATATTATTTTCAGGAAATACAGTTATACCTCAGTCTTCAAATCAGTGCCATAGATGCAAAAGACGTTTCTTATAGGTGGTCTCTCCCAAGGTGTAAGTGGGTTTAAAACTGGATCTTCATGATATGACCTGAAATATGGAGCGTTAATTAAAAAATGTTCATCTACGCTTCTAAGTTTCACAATAATTTGGGAGAAAAAGGCACATGATCGTAGGAAGCATGCATAACAATCAAGCTGTTTCTTAAGAGCATTGATCCAAACAAGTATGGTCACTACTATCAGATAAATCTACGAGTGGTCACTCGATACAATTTAAAAGAGAAACAAGACTTGTGAACTTTCATGCTATCACTGGGCAAGAACAGATTAAAAGTAATCACTTTCTGCTTGAAAGTAAAAGTAATCAGTTTGCGGCATATACTAAGGTATGATAAAATAAACTTAAATTGGTAACCATAAATTGTTAAGAGAAAGAGAAGAACATATTCAACTTTGAACTAGCAATTTGTAATTGCTTCAAGTTTAAGTTTAAACCTTCAAGCACAAAGAAAATAGTAGAAGTTTTATATTTATGCCGTATAACTCAGAAAAACAAGAATCCTAAATCAGAAAGATAAGTGTGCAAAAATTACGTACTTCTGTAATTGATACAACACCCTCTTACTGTCTGGATCATAATCCTCTATTGCTTTAAAAAAGGTTCCATCTGATATTTCTCGAGCAGAGAATGATAACTGAGTTGGAAGTCCGCATTCCATGTTGGAAACATTACTCTGAGCGATTTCAGTAATTGATGGATAGGCATCAAATCCTGCGAATGTAAGACGGCAACACATATAAGCATGATAATGACAGCAATATTGACAAAA